TCAAACCAAATGAAAGTAAAGTCAAACTAAGTCAACCTACAACTTGGAATCATTGTAGACCCTTAAAACCAAACAATACTGAAAAGCTTTGTGTTAGTCTCATGAACAGAATAAAATAAATAATACTCAAAGCAAATAAAACACATCATATTCCTATGAGAACTAAGCATGATTCGCTCTTTACTCATGCCCTTCATGAAAATGCTTCATCACCTAAAAAGCTTCTCTCTACTCGTCCCCACTACTCGCCATCATAAATGGGTCGTCGTAGGGCCAAGGTAAAGACAAGACCAAACAAGCATACAAACACACAATCAGCAATGCTAAGTACATAAGCGTAACAAAACACACTAACATGCTTTCATCCTATCATCACCCAACTTACCATGTTGCACTTGTTCACAAGCATACAAAACATTCAACACCTAACTAGACCAATACTAATGTTCATTTAATTTTGATTACACATCGAACGGGTTTCCAACCAAATCCCTGCCTCAAGTAAATTGAGGTAAACTACACCGGGAGCTAATTCTGGGTAGGCAAATGTCACATGAAGTGACTGGACGTCCTGCGCATAAGATAAATAAAAAGGAAAATACAGCGTCCTGTACTCCCAGTAGAAGTTATGATCAAATATAAAGTCGCATAACTCCTCCCATATGTTCATACTCAAGGTATATACGTTCCAAGAGTTTAGGTGTGTAATCTCTTTCACTTTACGTTGTTTACATATTATTACACTTGGTGATGACTCTCAAGCCATAACACAATCAAACATTATAAATCATTCAAGCAATCAAACATACCAATTTAATTCTTGAATAATTAGTGACCACATAAATTTAATAGTTAAACCCTTTTTAATCTACCTCGGTGTCAAAGACACCTTAAATGTATAATGCGCCGCAAATCCAATCCCTCAGTGTTAGAAACATCTTAAGTGCATATAAGCACTGCAATATAATTTATTCCTGTGTACTAAGACACTTAAATAGCTCAATTTCCATGCTTAAAGCATCAATAAAAATATTATGAACCATAATAAAATTCCTTTTTCATAATCCAAACCAAATCAAACATTTAGTTTAATTACACATGCTTTCTAACATGCCAATAATAAAAATGTGGTTCATAACCAACATGCCAACATAATTAATTCCAATCACCAATTCACCATAAATAATTCATACATCACAAATCATTCACCAACATCAATCCAACCAACAAATTCCAACCAACACCTATCATGATACTACTTGGAATTAATTAAACAAAGCCTAGCATGCTTCTACATATTCAAGTAATTACCAAGTACGCGAACGTACCTTGAATAAGATCTCAAAATCGCCACGACTAAATAAAATCACTCACTTGAAAGTCTCCTACAAACCAAAATTACAAAGAAGTATTAATACCTCTTCCACACAAATTTCCAGCAATATATACGCTCTTTAAATCACTCATAAACTCTCTAAAACAAGCTGAAACTTAATTTAAAACCCTTACTTTTATTCCCAATTAATGGGTAATTAAAAATCCTTTCAAGAAACATAATTATAGGTTATATATAAAAATTCCAGCATTATTAAACCTTATAAACTTGCTGTAATTTAGTTTAAAAACACCTATTTCAATAATTTAAATTACCCATAAACAATTCCCATCAATATACATCAATTTAGAAACCTAGGGTTTTTAATTTGGGGCTTTTTAATTCAAAACCAAATCTGAAAATTTATATACAAAATACTTATTATTAAACATCATAAAATCATCACAAAACCCAAAAACAATAATTAGATTAAGGCTAGACTAATTTAAAAACAAAAACTATAATAATTTTTTTTTAACACCACCGGCCCACACAACCACCATGGCTGGCTGCTGCTGCCGGCGAGGGTTGGTGGTGGTGGCCGCCGGCTGGTGGTGGCGTGTGGTGGCGTGTGGTGGCGGCCGGCCGGTGTGTGGTGGTGTGTGTGGGTGGTGATTAAAACAATAAAAAATAAAATAAAGGGTAAGGGGAAAAATTAAGGGGAAAAGAAAATAAGAGGAGAGAAAGAGTTTACGTTTGGGTGCACTCCACCTTAGGCATATGATGGGTATTTATACCCCCTCTCAAAATCCCTCCTACTTAAAATTCCTTTACTACCCTTAATGATCCCTTTCCTAGTCAAACTAGTATTTTGACTTTCCTTAAATACCATTGACTTTAAAAATTATCTTTTTATAAAATAATATGCCCCAGTATTTTCAAATCATAAAATAAAATATTTTCAAGATTATTAAATAATTAAAAATAAACTTTATAATTAAAATAATTCTTTTTAAATTAATAAAAACCATAAATAATTCATTTTGAATTATTTAAATACTTTAAGAAATACTTATTTAAATTAAAAACACATATAAAAATACGGGATATTACAATTTTTCTTCTTTTCTCAGCTTCTTTACTTCCTTCCTCGACTAGGCACATCCATGCCTTATCCAACATGGACGTGCTTGACTTGAAAACTGATCCAAATGAACTTAGCTTTATCATTGATCCTCGTGATCCTCAGTTTAAATTCGCAACAATATAAAATCTCCAAATTAGCTCCGTCAATCCTAAATACATCAAAAATAACAAACTACCCATAAAAGCACAAAGTCATTACATCTAAAACAAATCAAGCCAAAAAGAACCAAAATCAACTAAACTAGACTCAAAAACTAACAAAAAAGACTCTAAAAATACACATAATACACGATACATCAACGCCACATCTTCACACTTTCTCCCTTATTTCACACTTTGATTTGCTTACTGGCCACCTTCATCAGCCACATCTTCACCAGTTCTCCCTCCTTTCTCAATTTCTTCGACATTGTTAGTGGATACTAAAAGTGGATGTAATTAACAAGAGAAGGTTGAATGATTGCAAGAATTATCTAGGTGAAATTTGGGTTTTGGGTTTGAGTGTTGCAAAAGAATCGAAGAGAACAAATTTCGGATTGGATTGGATTCTAATTAGAAAAACCGAATTAATTCGGTTTGAGAAATCCAAAACCAAATTAATTCAAATTGGATTTGGTTATTCGGTTTTGGTTATAATCTAACCGCAAACCGAACTTTCACCCATATGTCATAATATGTGTATTATTTAATGATGGGAAATAAGTCTTACATTGATATAATGGAAGACGTTAGCTTATTCTATTTAACTTGATGTTAGAAAGGAAGTCCGACATTGGTGAGTATAGAAGAAGTTAGCTTATTCCATACTACTTGATGTTGAGAAGGAAGTCTCACTTTGATGGAATAGAAAAAGTATAGCTTGGAACAAGTGTATAAGTTTGTTTATTTGGAGCATGAACGAATTTAAACAAAAGTTAAGGACTTTGACCTTGTGCTCGATCGTGCTGACATAGCCTGATCAGGCACACAACTTATTAAGAACATGGATAGTTTGAACGCTTAGGCGCGAACTCAAACTTGTTTTCTGAAGGTTGTAAGGCTCGATTGGGCGCGAGACTAGTTACACTTTCGTCAGTTTATTTGCCTGACCGGGCGAGCTTAACCCGATCAGACGAGTGTGCAAACAGTAGTTTCCAACGAATAATTGAGGAAGATATTAATCATGACTTTTCATTACAAAATCAGATTATCTTAATTAATTAAGTTTGGGAAATGGTGACTCTTGTGGCTAAAAATGTTTAAACATTATAAATATTCATGGCCTCCAATTACAACCAAACTTGAAATTCTTCTTTCTATATTTCTCATTTTACTCTCATTGTTATTAATTGTTCATAGGTAGTTTCAATTACATTGCTGTAATTGATCTCGATACTTAGGAAAATCCCGAAAGCATATTAACCAGAAACTCATATATAGCGATCATAGTGGGGTTTAAAATTACTTTAAGGACAGTATAATTTCTAATAGAAGAGAGAGAGAGAGAGAGAGAGAGAGAGAGAGAGAGAGAGAGGCTCCTATGAGGAGCTCAAAATCTCTCACAACTCTTTGTGCCAAGAGACCATCCCTTTTCTTTAAATGGCAAGCCAATCTATCTATACATATTGAAACATATAATACATGTTTTAAACTTATGACCTCAAAATTAAACAATAAATAATGTCATATTACATGTAATGTTTTCAAAATATAAAAACTTTAATCATGACAATCATGCAATACCTAAAGACAATGTCCGTGCCCAAAAACTAGTTATTGTCGATTTGTTGAGCTTTGAAGCCACATTACCTCCTTTCATGAGATCTATTACCGTTCACAACCTTATAAGATATCAAACTAGTATTAGTGTTGATTAGTTTGCATATAATTCCTCCACAAACTTTACTTTATGATTATGTGAGTCTGTATAATTAGTTTAATTTTACTCATATACATTTTCTACAACGATTCTTATCACAACTTCTTCCAACTTTCAATTTTTCTTATTTGCATTTATATATATATATATATATATATATATATATTATTCGTTAATGAGTACGTCATAATATATATTTTTCCACACGAGATGTGTGCATGTCACGCGGACACATAAGTATACTTATATATATGCTCATTATAATAGTTGCAAGACTTGCAACTTCTTTGATGTGCATATAAATTAAAAGAATTCTTAATATAAGAGATCATACTACATTATCAGTAACTATTTGACATATGTTATTGTGCACTCGATGCACGCAAGGATAAACTAGTCGTTTTAAATTTTCGTTTTCTTCTCAACTTCATAAGCAATTTACTTGTAACTTTATTCATCTATATTATCTCTTGCATAACCAAAAAGAAAATCAAATTTGTGTTCAAATTTTGCAACCTCTTACCAAATACAAGTAGGCAATTACTAGCACACTTTTGAGTTTGAGGAGGGAGACTACTTTGAGAGTCATTTTTACTTGTCAAAAACTGGCAACCAACGTGGCAACAAGTTGAGGAGCAACTCACGTGCAGCACGTGCCTTTCTGGGGGTTGACTGTTGGGACGTGGAAACCACCATTTTGCCTTTGCCGTTGATTACTCAGGTTTTTGAAAGGCTCTAATTTCCAATTTTGTGTCTCTTTCACTCACTTGATAGAAGAAAAATAGAGAGAAAAAAAATAGAAAAGAGAAAGAAACCAAAACCCCATTTTCTGGTAATATCTAATCTTTAATCTTTGTTTTTTGATTTGTTTTTTCATGTTTGATTGTTTGTATATCTTTGTACTTTTGTTAATTGTGATGGGTGTTTTTGTTTAGCAATTTTGATGCTTTTTAATTCATAAATCAGTACCCTTTTCTGTATTTTATATAGATCTGATGAAACTTTGTGATGTAATTGCTCATGGGTTGTTTAATTTTGATTTTTCTATGTTAGATGAGTAAATGAGTTAATGATTGTTTGATTTATGGTCCGATTTATTGTTTGATGAAAGTTGAGGGTTTGTAAATTTGAGGTAAAACTACTGTTGTTAGACTATATAGACTTTTGCTTTGGTAGGATCCGTAAAAAGAAAGTGATGCAGACGAGATTTTATCCTGGATCCGGGTCTAGGGTACGATTTGATTTGCTTTTAAGTTTGTGGTTTGAGGAGCAAAAATCAAGTGGTTGGATAGTTAATTCTTAATTATGTACTCCTTCATATTATTTTGAGTCATTAAAATGGGTTGTTATTTTTAACTTTGGCGATTGTTATTTTAATCAATGATTGGTTTTTTTTTTGGAAGTGATTTTTCTGTTTGGTATAAATCAGGGTTGTTAATTTGACAAAATTTTGATTTTTGTTTAAAGTGAGGAACGATGTCGCCAGTAGAAGGATCCCGGGAAGAGAATGTCTACTTAGCCAAATTGGCCGAGCAGGCTGAAAGGTATGAGGAAATGGTGGAGTTTATGGAGAAGGTAGCTAAGACTGCCGATGTTGAGTTGACAGTGGAGGAGAGGAACCTCCTCTCTGTTGCCTACAAGAATGTGATTGGGGCAAGGAGGGCTTCATGGAGAATTACCTCATCCATTGAACAAAAGGAAGAGAGCCGTGGGAACGAGGACCATGTAGCTATCATCAAGGAGTACAGAGCGAAAATCGAGGCTGAGCTCAGCAAGATCTGTGAGGGGATCTTGAAACTTCTTGATTCACATCTTGTCCCATCCGCAACTGCTTCCGAGTCAAAGGTATTTTACCTGAAGATGAAGGGTGATTACCACAGGTATTTGGCTGAATTCAAGACCGGAGCTGAGAGAAAGGATGCTGCTGAGCACACCTTGCTGGCTTACAAGTCTGCTCAGGTGGGTCTATCAGCTTGCTGTTGTTGCAGTTACAAAATGGGTTATTACATAATTGAAACATAATTAATTACTGAGATATCTTGCTTGTAGGACATTGCATTGGCTGAACTGCCTCCTACTCACCCAATAAGGCTGGGGCTTGCACTTAACTTCTCCGTGTTCTACTATGAGATCTTGAATTCCCCTGATCGTGCCTGTGCTCTGGCCAAGCAGGTTTGTACACCTCATACATTCTTTGTTAGTATATCATGATTCCTCCTGTTTTTTTTTACTTCAGTATTCTGGATGAAATGTACAATGTCTTACTTTCAGTTTATGGTGGTTCAATTAAATTGCCATGATTGTATAGTTCAACATAATAACCTAATGCCGTAGCGTGGTCTACCTCCAACAATTCATTATTGACTTGCACTGGAGGAAAGGGGGAATTTATTTATTATAAGGAAGACACCTCCATTTGAAGAGACCCTTATTTTTTTTTGTAGAATTTACTATTATCCTAAGTTATTTTCTTTTCACAAACTTTCTTGCCTATGCAGTTTGCAGCAATATCAAGAGGGGAAAATTTTAGAACTACCTTTTATTCCACATGACACTCTTTGCAAACAATTGCCTTGTAAATTTTGTAGCGAACTGCTAATCATAAGACATTCCTTTCCCGCCCCCCCCCCCCCCCACACACACACACACATTCCCCTCTCTCCCCAAACCAAAAACAACTAATTTATATGACAACTACCCTATAAGATATTAAGAATGTTATGTCATTCAACTACCTTCTTTATATCGCACGGTTTTTTTATCACAATTCATGTTAGCCGACCCCAATTTTATCATTTTGGGACTAAGGCTTTGTTGTTGTTGTTGGAAGGAGGAAAATTGGGACAAAACTGAATGGACTTATTAGAGCAATTGATATAATGTTGGCGAATAAATTGTTGTATTCTAACTGCGGTAAAGTGAGAGAATGTGAATGACAGAGTTACATTGAGATGAAAGAATCATAAGCATGCCAATGAACAGGGCAGGAAGAGGTAATTGAACAAGGAAGAAGGTAGTAAAGTAAGGTTCATAACAGCCTGTCAAACCCAACTTTTTTTGATAGCAGACGTTCATTGGTGGTGATAACTTCAAAATTAGCTATAAAAGGGTTTTCAAAATTGTTATATGAGTTAGTTCAGAACTTCAGACAAATTTCCATTTAAGAGTTCCAATTTTAACCTATTATATTTTAGTCTCCCATGTTAAGGCAAGCCATGTGCTAAGGAGTCTCCCCTGCACTTTCTCATTCCCTTCTCTCTGACTGACTATTTACACTTTTTACTGCCTTGAGATTGATTTCTTTTCCTAATCTTAGATGTAAATTGTGAAAAGTTTTGTATGTTTGATGGTTCTCCTTATATCTGGGCCTGTACATTATCTCCATATAAGTTTCACGTGGTCCTGCACTGTGCACACTTCCTCGAAAAAGTTGTTAAGCACTGGTTCTTGTGGATCTGTCAATTAGATGCTTATCAAGAAATTAGCCTTTAGGTTCCACTAAAATGAAGCTTGATGTAAATAATAAATCCTTTCTAAACTCTTGTTGATGTGTGATATGTAAGAAATTTATGTTTTCTTGTGTTTTGATGTTTAAATAATAAATCACTTGCAAACTGTTGTAAATGTTTGACGAGTCCGAAATTACGTTCTTGTGTTTTCCATGATGTATCTAAGCCTATAGACCAGTGTCTTGTAATTGAATTCCGGAAGATACCAGGCATTCGAGTATGATGTAGCTGGTAAAGGTCATACAATTATTAGCAAAGCAGCTTTTTCAATAGCAAATAACTATGGAGAAATACTATGCTAAATTTATTTTTCTACTTTCCTTTTTTCAGCTGTTTAATTTTTAAGTGCAAACTGTTTCTTGTTCCTGGTTTGGTTCTTGTGCCTTTTGGAAGTCCTTGGGACCTGGTTGCTTATCCTCTTCTTTCTTTAATTTATTTTTTCCAATTGAGTGGTGGAGGATTACTTATGCCATAACATTCTTTTCAAATTCTTTTTCCTCATTATTTACATGGTAGTTGATTGTTTATCTCATTAAACAAGATTTATGTGTGAGATGATTCCTCCTTTTCCCCTACACACACCCATTTTTCTATGTTTAATGAGGTGATGGGCATAGGCTATACATGGTTATGCATGTAATGGTAGAATTGGGATGAAAATGTACCTGATACCTCAAGACCCCATGACACAGAAGTTATTACTTTTTAATGCTGCATTTTAATTTCAAAGTATATAAATGGCTTTTAGGAAGACAGATTAATGACAGAACAAATTGTTTGGCTTTTCCCCTCTTAAATTCTTTACTTACATTGAGTAATGGCGCTGGAAATACATTAGTGTGCTTTATCTTTGATATTTGGATACAGAAATATCTAGCTAAAAATTTGCTTCAATATGTTTGTTAATCTCTCTGCATCTCAAATATATGGCTTTATGTGTGTATGTTTGAAAGTATCTAAGGTTGGTGTTATTAAAGTGCTCTATACCGAATGCACTTTATTCTTAGTTTATTATTGTTAGGAATAGATGTCGCCAGCTTCCTTTTGTATGACTTTATTTAATGTAAGGTGGTTGTTAATAACAGTGCTCTATATCGAATGCACTTTATTCTTGAGTTGATTATTGTTAGGAATATAAGTTGTCTGCTTCCTTTTGTATGACATTATTTTGTAAGTGACTTCTATCACGACACTTATTGTATTGTTAAATCAGTATTTAATGTGACCTTCAATTAATCATCATTTGGCTTTGAATCAACCATCAAGATTGGTAACATCAACAGTTGGTCCTCAATTGATTAAAAAATGTAAATAGTTGAAGTTCAATGTACGGAGGTAGATTAACAGATAAGTATAATGTATATCTTATGTCCCAAAGTAAATAGTATAAACACACTATTATGTATGATTAATATAATAAGATTAACATGTTGACTTGGCACACTTGGTATAAAATAAATAAAATAGTATAAACACACCATTATGTATTGACTAATCCAATAAGATTTTGCTGTTAACCACCAATAGCAAATGGCAGCACGTAGTGTATGTTTATAATTGTGATACTGGATGATTATGTGTGGTTGCAGCTGTAGAATTGCTAGATTTCCCTTTGATCCTTCAATTTTTTTATTTTTTATTTTTTATTTTAATTTAAGTCTGATTAGGGGTTAAATATAAGTTCATTTTGAATTTAAGAGATTCACATTCTGAAATCAAATTTTCTAACCACATAATGCACTCTAGGCTTTTGACGAAGCCATTTCAGAGCTAGATACTCTGGGTGAGGAATCCTACAAAGACAGCACCTTGATCATGCAGCTCCTCCGTGACAATTTGACATTATGGACTTCTGATAATGCGGTAATCTCGCTCTCCCATCTTTCGGCGACTTCCCCTCTCCCCCTTCCCATCTTCTATACGTATTTATTTTCTTAATTTTTAGAAAGGAAATCCAACTATTGTTTTACACCTATGTTGTGCCAAACAGGAGGATGTCGGCGATGAGATCAAGGAAGCTACAAAAGATGACGCCGCTCCTGGACAACAATGATTTGGTCATTTTGTTGGAGGAGTTAGATGGAATGTATTTATTTAACTTGGATATTTGTTATGTTGCTCTAGAGACTTTTCCCATACTTGGTATGCTTTAATGTTTGTTTGTCATATGCAGCGTCAATTAGATGCTCTATATATCTTACCAAGACACGCTTCATTAATTATTATTGTCTACTTTCAGTTTTCAACACTTTGCACTTGAGTGCACTCGACGTAGATTCATCAAATGAAAAGCTACGTAGTCCAATAATGTGTTAGGATGTATGTGCTCTTTGTTCTTATTAATTTTCAGCTAGAGTTTTTTCTGGTCATCAAGGAAATTCTTCTGCTGCAATTTTTATGATGAATCTTACATACTTCTCTTTTGTATCTTTGCTTGTACGGTTGTACCTAGTGTCTCTTATCTGTGGGTGTGGTGGTGAAATCATGCAGCAAGCCACTTTTTAACTAGTACATATGTTTTCTGAGTTTAAACCCAATTCTATATCAATAGAAAGGAACCAAGGAAAACATTTAAGAAAAGGAATAATTGTTAGAATATGTTATTTTGTGAGAAATGATCTTATAATCATAGGGTGATACTTATGGACCTTAAAAGTAATTTCTTTTTAACCATGGTCTGGATTTTGGTTGTTCGCTTCAAATTTCGAACCGAAACCCTCACGGGAGTGGCATGTGAATAGGTGAATGCGATTTAGCTCCTTTTAGCCATCCCATGTCCTTTGACTCCTACCACCGTCCAACAACTATTCCATCACCATATCACCTACCACCACACCACCCATTTCACCACGAAACCAAGTTCCCACAAGTCGCAGCCACATCACCGCCCACACAATCACCTATCCCACAATACTTGCTCTCTTTTTCATTCTTCTCCCTAAAGCTACCACACAGCTCGCCAAACACATCTCACAATAATCTCTTGCATCGCCCTCCCCCACTCTCTTTCTTGCTACCCTTCTTGTGCTCTTCCTCATTCTCTCCTCCTCTTCCTTAAACCCGGCTAACAACCACTGCAACCCCACGCATTAGTCAAAACAAGATGAAAGCCCTTAATTGTATCTATTGTATGTTTTTTTTCCTAAATTAAGTGGCAATGAGGTTCACATTACAAGCATAAATATAGTCCAGTTATTTTTTATTTATTTATTTATTTTATAAATATATATCCGAGTGCAGGTCAAATTAGGGACTTTGAGTTTATGACATTTCTTATACAACAATAGACTTAAAAAAACTACGTATTATATATTTCTGTTAAAAATAACATATTTTATAGCAACAACTGGACTTTTACACTATTTATAATGCTTGTTTGACCACATATTATAATTTATAGTTAAAAGTAAAATATAATCATATGGAGTCTTGTTAAATTCGTCTTGTAAAATACTTTCACAATATCAACTTTTTATAATTTTTACTCTTATATAATTATAGATATTTAGCATATAAAATGTGTTTTGTGATGCGTATTTCATCCTTATTGCAATATTTATGGAACAGAGGAAGTATACTATAAGTATTTTTAAACAGCTTTGAGGGAGTACAAATTTTTGCCTACACCTTAAATAAAAGATAGCACTACCTACACTCCCTTCATTCATAATGGCGTCATCTTATATTTTTCGGTTTTGAATCACATATAAAATGTTCATTTTTGTACATGTAAATGTTCATTTTTGTATCAATAAATGTTCAATATTGTTAATATGACCTACTATATTCATATTATTATATATATTTTCGTTTTTAGACAGTTTTTATTAATTTGCCTTATTATTTAGTTGAGTTAATAGACTTTGTTTGAAAATATATATTTTAATATAGAATAAAAGTAATTCAATTACGTTATAACATCATTTTAAATTAACACATGCTCATTGTTTTTTAAGCATACAAGGATATAACTTTTCAAAGGTACATAAGCTTAATAAAAAAAATAAAACTATAAAAAACAATAAAAGTGAAAATCTTAAACTTAAAAAATGTACATATCATACATATATCTTACATAATGAACATCTTTTTTTAATGTGTAATACATTTGGTATAAATAAAAGGTATATAGAATCATCCTCTTAGTTATACGCTTGTACCCCTTCTATTATTATGATGTTTTGTATGCTTTCCGTGATACATAATTTTTTCTCAATATATACATTATCGTTTTTCACATTTTTTTATATCATTATCCTGTAAAAGATCAAATTTTTAAAGAAAATATTAGTTAAAATTAAAACACACTATAAATAAAATTTAATAATCAAATAAACATTTGTAAATACAAATTTGAACACGTTGTTAGACATGAACATAGTTCAATATAAGAATGAACAACTATTAAAATTTAAATAAACATCTTTTAACATGAAAATGAACAATTATTAAAAGTCAAAGGAACATATTTCAACACGAGAATGCATGAACACATATTAAAATTTAACTGAGCTTTTTCATTATGATAACAAACGAGTATTGAAATTCAATGAATATCTTTTAATATGAGTATTGAATGAATAAGTAATAAAGTAAACAAATATGTTTAGATATGAGAATGAACATTGTATTAGATTGAAAATGAACATCTTTGAATATGAGAATGAACATATAATTTAAGAGAATGAATGTGTATTAAATTTAATTGAACATATATTCAAATGAAAATGACCATAAATGAACATTAATTTCATCTAAAATGATCATTGTTCCATAAAAAAAAATGAACATTTACGATAGATTAAATTTTGATAGTCAAAATTCGCCAAATAACATTTTTTATTAACAAAATAAATAATATTAATTAAGAATCAATGATTTAATTCCATAGATCAAATTGATAATTTGTCTATAATTTAGTTATTAAAATATAAATATAAATGCTTTACAAATGAACATAAAGTTCATTTAAAATGAACATGTACAATAGATTAATTTATTAGTCAAAATTCACTCAACATCAGTTTTAATTGACTCATGTTATGATTAAAAAGTTCTTATAACATAGTTCAAATATTATTATAAGAATTACTTTCATGATAAAGTATGAGAAATAAAAAACTCTTATTGAAATCCTTTATTAGATCTATACACTACTACAAAAAACCCTTATCAAGTCGCCTGTAAATGACCTAACAAATCGCCTCAAAAGCGACTCCACAGCCACCGATATGATAGCTTCTAACTTAAGGAGTCACCTCTTGAGGCGACTAAATAGCTTTTATATAAGTCGTCTACTAATTGTTAGGCGACTCTATATGTTAAGCTATTGTATCACTTGTGTTGAAAGAGGCGACTCCATAGGTTAATAATCTATCGTGGTTGTGTTGAAAGAGGCGACACGTAAAAAATCAACATTTTTTCCAACTATTTTAATTAGCTCATATAATGTCAATGTTATGCTACTTAGCATGCATGATCTCTGGTTCTTTGCCTGGAAGGTTGAAGTTCTTGCCATTATACCAAAGTTACTTTTTATATACATATATATGAGATTGTAACTATTTTAAATAAATTGTAACAATCAACCTATTGAGTCGCGTCTTACGTATTAGGTGACTTATTAGGTAGTGGTCATATGATAAAACACCTAACAAGTCGGACTTTTAGAGTCACCTGTATATAAGGTGAGACTTGTAAATCTACCGAGTCGCCTCATACTTACTAGGCGACTTGTTAAGTTGGGGTTAAAATCAACAAAGCACCTAACGAGTCACCTAATATACATGAGGTGACTTGATAGGTTTACAATTCGCACCATATATGCATGTGACTCTATAACCCGACTTATTCGGTGGCTTAAATTAGATTTTCAAAGTCAGGTGCGACTCATTAACCTATTGAATCGTCTTATACATATTAAGCGACTCATTAGGTGAGAGTCATAGCTAACAAAACTCTACTATTAAGTCGCCTAATATTTATAAGGCGACTCAACAGATTTTCAAGTGGCACCTTATGTACAAGTGACTTTGAAAATCTAATTTAAACCACCTAATAAGTCGGGTAATAGAGTCGCATGCATATATGGGGCAACTTGTTTATCCATCAAGTCACCTCATATATATTAGGTGACTCGTTAGGTGCTTTGTTGATTTTAACCCTAACTTAACAAATCGCCTATAACTATGAGGCGACTCAATAGGTTTATAAGTCGCACCTTATGTACAGGTGACTCTGGTGAAAAATACATCTATAAGAATTCCAGTGACCGTTTATTACTAATGAATGACCATATACTAATATATAAATAAACATTTATCAAAATGAAAATGAACATTCATCAAATTGAAAATGAACATTCATCAAAAAGAATTTTCATTACAAACGAAATTTATATTTCTATAATCCTACGAAATATGTCAAATTATCCATAAAATTAAGACAATTACACTCAATTTTCATTTTTTTATGTCCAACATTTTTGTAATTTTAACACACCACAAATCGATTCAACAAGTATACCAAACATCATACTACTATAATTATAGGAAATCACTTTTATGATTAAAAAAAAAAATTATGAGAAATCAAGAACTATTACCAATTATTCCAAAAAAAAAAGAACTATTATCGAAGTTTAATATATGTCTTGATAACTTGTTATTTGGTATGATTTTATGGTACTTTTGAACCTTGTTTTCGTTATTACTCGGCATCAAAGTTCATTATTTATCCTATTTTTTATGCAAATTTTGTACCATCCATGCTTCACGGGTTGTTTGTGCTTTTTGATGTAATGTAGCTATTTTTAGCACTATGGATGTGATCAAGCATGAGATAGCAAGGATAAGGGCAATCTTGGTTGATAGAGCCATGGAGGAAGAAGGAGGAGTGCCTTAAAGAGAAAAGAAAAGCTTTTGAAGAGCCTTGAAGGGTTGTTTGCATAAGCGTCAACTTCAACTGACCATAACTTTTGATATACTCAAAAGTGATTCAAATTGGAGATTAAATTTCGTCTCAAGAGCTTTCCAACTACTAGTCACAAGTCCATTTCCGGCAAGAAACAAAGAAGTTACAGCCTCCCAAAATTAAGCTGTCTAGGCAGGGAATTTTGCATGAACGTGCAACAAAATGGCACGTCTTTGCAAGGCTGCACGTCCGTGCCAAAATCTTCACGTCTGTGCAGACCTGAACGGCTCTTGACAGTAGCTACTGCCTTGCTCTGCACGGCCGTGCCTAGGGTGGCACGTTCATGCAGACCTGCAGTCGAGCCCGATTATTGTTTTCTCCGTCCTTTTTATTTGGAGGTCATATAAATACCCTTTTGAGCTCATTTGTAGGGGGATATCAAGGTTTTTAGAGCTTT